AATAAGTCATCTGTCATCAATCAATTTGTTGTCTTTGCTACAAAATAGCTAGTAAAACTTACTCACTCAGTTCAGAGGTCCTCAGATAGAAATGAACTGATAAATGCTTTTAATACCCGACATAAGTCCATGTACCAATTTATTTCCTTAGTATTTTTGTTTTCAAGTTTGCGGTATACATCGAGTTACATGTATTTCACCGTTTCAAAATCAAACAGAAATATAATGTAGATCAMGATATATTTTTRTCATTGTTCTCTTTAAACTTGTAAGGACTTTTTAATGTATGTATTCTGATATATTCTTTATACCTTTCAGGGATGAACCTATATATTATCGGGTGAGGAGACGCCAAGTAGGGCGGCATCGCCGCAAAAGCAATAATGTAAGTAATAATACACTATCAGTTATTTCGCGAGGCTTTTTTGTAGTGAAAGCTGTTATTTTAATAATGTTAAACGTGTAATCATTGCCTATTCACAGCGTGAATTCAGTTGCACAGAAAAGAGCCAAATTGTACCTTTGACCTTGACTTCTGGTGCTGGTCTTGCTGCTGTCGTGATGATTATATTAATTATATATTATATATCACTAATCTAGAAATGTAAAGATTAATAATAATAGAAAAAAAAAACAATCAGAAATCAACACTGGCCATTTAGTTTATTTATTTATTTTTTCATTACGTTTTTTTTTTGTCAATCTGAGAAACACTGAAACGTTCCCACGTGCGTTTACACTACATGAACGTAGTAATTATAGTTACCAAAWATTCTTAATCATGAGTTCACCAACTATCCCTCCGGAGAAAAAACCTTTGCCGCCACCGGAATATTTGCTAACGTTAACAGAAAATAGAGATCTAAAGCAATTGACAGAAAACCGCATTGTAAATTCCATCGTTGTGGACGGAAAGCAAGTTAAAGGTAAGCTCAATGAAATAAGAACTTAAGATATACCGTTTTGCTCAGATTGTTCGAGTGCGTAAATATACGGGTAGGACTGCCTATCACACTGGGAAAGCGGGCGGACAGATTATTACATTTGAGAAGCATTCGGAAAGTGTTTTGTATACTGAGTGTACCTACTCGTGCACGTAGACTGAAACGGTGTATCTCAATTCAAATGAATTTGCCATACATTGTATCACTACAACTTCGGGAAATTTAAAGTACTCAAATACTCTTTACATACAGTGGTAAGACCAAAGAAGAAAAAGGAATAGACGAGAAATGGTAAGTTTTTTTATAATATCCCTGTGATTTTTGAAGTTCTGTAAAATTTATACGCAGTACCTGGTAATTCGTTCCAGTGTCGTGTTAAAAACACTAATCAACGTTTAATATTACTCGTTCCCGGCGACCATTTTTTGATAGTATTCTACGTGCAATCTGCGTTTAATTGTTTCAGCGTTTAAACGCAAAGCACCGCAAACGTCATTGCTTCCAGATTGAAAACTCCTGATTTTGTTTTTAAAGGTCACTCTTACAAATGCCAATATCTGGCAATGCAAGTGTCAAACCTCTGAATTACAGGATTTTTCTGGCAGTTTGAAAGTACTTTGCCTAACAACCAATATTGTTGAGTTTATAACTTAAGCAGTGAACGGACTATATTTTAAAGTTATAATAAGCAATCTACGAATTACAAACCATATGATTTTTAAGTAGTTTGCCTAACAACCAAATATTGTTTAGCA